ATCCAGCTTCTGGTTTCAAATGCGTGCAAGCTCACACACACAGTTGCTATGGTAATTAGTAGTTTATTCAAGGTCACAGAGATAGCAGCAGACAAGGAATGGAAACCAAAACAGAGTCTCTAAAAAGAGCTTCCCTGAAAGGTTGCATTTAACAGGAGTGTGCAGAAAAATGCGCAAAATCCAGTCCAAGATTCAGAGAGCCTAGTTAAAGTTTTCATCTGGAATACCACAGACTCCAAACAAACATCACATACAATAGCCAGAGATTAGACAGTTACTTTCAATGAGGGATCATGGGTCAAGACTGCCTCTTAAATCAATCTGCAACCAGCTGTTACTAATCAAGAGATATATTTACTTGTTTGTCAAGGACCTTCATAGAAAATGTCTGATTTCCTGTTCTCTCTACTTGCCTAGGGTGGGGCTGGGAGGGCTTACATCATCTTAAACATCTTCTCCAGCTGCTCAGGTGAGGCCTATGTTTGATCAGCCTCTTGGCTTTGTGTCTCTTGAGGCTGACATTTTAGAGGTCCTGTTCCAGCACCTTTTTCATAACTATATGAACTATATGATTATTTGATCCCTAGATCATGACAGGTACAAGTGTGGCAAGGCTATTAGTGGCTGTTGCTGAGTAGGGTATAAGTGACTTACTAGAGCATCTTATGACTTTCCCTGCTGGCTTTCCCACTGGCTTTGCTTCTGGGAAACCAACAGTGAAAATCACAATGGTAATCATATGATTGTGGGTTACTGCCACTGTCATAAGTGCAAGCTAGTTGCCAAGCATCTGAATCACAATCAGGACTGTGGGAGGGCTTGGATGGCCAGAACTAGTTGTAAATACCACTGTTCTGACCTGAGTCATGCTGGCAGGTGCAGGTACCAATACAGTCTGTTTATTGCACAGCTATATAGTGATAGATGGCCCTCCAATGGTGCTGGTAAAGCTCCACCCCAACTTTCTCCAAAGGCAGCCATCCACAGTTAGTGCAACCCTGTCCCACAATCTATGTCTAGTAGCTGCCAGAGCTGATCCACAAGGCAAAGAGGAAGTCTTGAATCCACAAACAAGGTTCAGAGTCCATAAAACAAGTGGACTCTGCAAACAAGGTTCAGAGTCCACAAAGTGAAGTCTGCAAACAAGGTTCAGAGTCCACAAAGCACATTTTGTAATTCACGCATGCTAAAGCAAATGGTTGTTCCTGACAAATGCAGCTTCCCCCTGCATCTGGCTAAGTCACCCCAAACCTAACCAGATGTTCCTTGTGTGGAGGGGCAGGGCTGCTTCCTCTGTGCTTCTGCTTTGCTCTCTAAGCCTGCATATCTGGTGAGGGAGGTAACTGTTCCTCATTGGAGGTGATCTGTTGCCTTTTCTCACTGCTGATTGTTGGTAGCCAATTCTCCCCTGTTTTCATTAAAGCAGGTGGCTCCCCGTCTGGTCGAGTACTTCCCCCAATGCCAGACAGGCCTGGCATTGCATCATCCTCAGCCCCTGGGCTCTCCGGATGTCCCTGGAGAGACATGCCATCCCTGTCTTGGTTCCAATTCCTCCTACCAACCAGCTCCAACGGGGCCATTGCAGCCACTCATTCACTTCAAGTGATCGTTAAATGAGGACTACCTGTAAAGTGTTTGACAAAGTACCTCATGATATTTTTGAGGATAGGATGTATAAATGTAGGCTGGAGCGTACCCAGAAGGTGCTTGTAAATGGCCTATCAATCTGTGTGGTTCAGCAACTTTCTAAATGACCTAGAAGATGAAATATTTATGAATTTTGCAGATGATGCCAAGCAATAACTGTTTAGAGGACAAAATCATGATTCAAAATGACCCCTACAGTCTTGAACATTGGGCCATATCCAAACAGGATGATACTCAGTTATATTAGGTGTAAGATCAGGCAGCAGGAAAAGTCAAATACATGGACACAGGATTGGGGAAACCTGGCTGTGAAGGGGGGATCTAGGGGTTTTAGCTGACCATCTGCTGAACATGAATGAATAGAATTACACAGTAATTGAAAAGGGCTATGTGCTGCAATGCAGTGTATCAGAAACACTGAGTCCAGCTAATGGGCAGCAATTTACAGTATAATTTCCTTGGTTGCTTTATTTGTATACTCAAGAGTTAGGTGGCTAACTATCTCATACAGTTTCCTTATATTTTAAAGGGTTTAGGTAGCAATGAATGGAGCAGTATTCATTGTTGTGCACTGTCCAGAGTCGGTTTTGGTGAGATGGACGGCTATATAAATTTGATGAATAAATAAATAAAAATAAATTATGTCCTCTTACGGGCGTTACCCTTTAAAAGGGATATATAAAATCTAAAGATGGTTCACAGGATACCAGATTGATAGCTGGAATAGATCTAAGCCCTATGAAGAATCATCAAAGAGCTAGAGTTTATCATGCAAAAAAACCAAAAACCAAAATCCTATAAAAATATTCTTTAACTTGCAAAATAGAAAATGTCATGTGCAAGAGGTTGTAGACCTGTTTTCTCTTGAAATAGAAGGCTAGACCAGTCAAAGGAGTTGAAATTGAATACTTCAGCTGACTCAAGAAATCCCTGAGATAAAATCTTGTCTGTTGGAGATTTCCACCTGTTGGAGATGGTTTAGTAGATTTTTGCATTGAACAAGGAGTTGGATTAGTTAACATTAGATCTGATATTCTAATTACCTGTGACTCTTCTAATGAGTAGCTTTAAAGTACTGTAGGAGTTTATGTACCATACAGAATTGGCCACATGTATATGCAATATTTCATCTTATAAAATCAGTTGTATTTTGTATCAAATAAAATAATATAAACAAGACTAAATATAAATTTATAATGTCCTGGTAATTTCCAAGTTTTTAAGAAGAGACTGGACAACCATTTGTCTGAAATGGTATATAGGGTTTCCTGCCTGAGCAGGGGTTGGACAGGAAGACCTCCAACATCCATTCCAATTCTGTTGTTGTTGTTGTTGTTGTTGTTGTTGTTTGTACGTAATGCTGGCACAATTGTGTCCTGAAAAAGTTTATTTTCTGTCTTGTTTTCACAATTGCCCTCATCTTATCCGCAGCCCATAAGTGAGTTAATCTTAAGTCGTTCTTAGTAGTATTGCTATAAATGTAGTATCTAACAAAGGCACTGCCCTTTCAGCCCTTCCTTAAACTGTTTTAACCAGCCATAAGGTGTTAATCAGTTCAGCTTTGCTAGCAGGACTAAGCAGTGATTAGCAACAAAGACAGTGGAGGCTGGATAGAAATAAACATGGAAGTCAGCAGTTTCATACCAGTACAGTTTTCTGTTGATTGAGAGAAAGGAGGTGGGTGGGGAAGACCCGTAGTAGCAGGTGGTAAAGACCCTTAGTACACTTGAGTAAAGTGGATAAACTTGAAAAAAATTAACTATCAACAGCTCATCTTAATAAAGTAAATAAATACAGGTAATCTTCAAATTGTATCCATTTTTCAGTGCCTGATCAAAATTACAGGTAGTCCTTGTCATACAACGGTTCATTCAGTGACCATTCAAAGTTACAACAGCACTGAAAAAAGTGACTTATGACTGTTTTTCACATTATGACCGTTGCAGCATCCCCACGGTCATGTGGTAAAAATTTGGATGCTTGGCAACCGGTTCATATTTATGACGGCTGCAGTGTCCCGGGGTCATGTGATCCCCTTTTGCAACTTTCTGACAAGCAAAGTCAATGGGAAAACCAGATCCACTTAACCGCGTTACTAATTTAACAACTGCAATGATTCACTGAAAAACTGTGGCAAGAAAGGTTGCTAAATGGGGCAAAATTCACTTAGCAAATGTCTCGCTTAGCAACATAAATTTTGGGCTCAGTTGTGGTCGTTAGTCATGGACTATCTGCATAGCAGCGCTGAAAAAATGACCAGTTCTCAACTTTCTGGCTATTTGCAGCTCTAGTGGGGGGCAGGGTCACGCAATTGCAATCTGGGTGCTCAGGTGACAGGCTCACGGTTACAACTTTGCAAAGAACTACAGTCACAAGATTGCCACTGACAATCTTCCCTGCTGGCTTCTCACAAGCAAAATCAATGGGGAAGCCAGCAGTGATGATTGCAAATCGCTCCAGGATCACTTCTGCCTGTAGCATTCTCCGGTCTGTGTGCAACCTCTAGTAGCCCTCCCTCGACTCATGAACGACCTGCATCAGGTCTTCCATGGCCTCCCTGAGTTTGCATGCAGGCTGTGTCAGGCTCCCTAGCCTTCCCCAGGTTCCTCCATTCCTCTCCAGCTCCCCCACACTCCTTACCTGATAGTCCTACCACTTCCCTAAGGCTAGCAAATATGTGGTAAAAGCATGTGAAATTGTAAAGCGAATGAAGACATTTATAACCTGTGAACCTTTTCGAAGGAACTTGTTTTCTTCTAGCATCATTATATTGATTTTTATGAGGCATTTGTTCAGTATCTCTGCTAGGTCTCATCTCACCTAGGATAGGAAACCAGGAGAGTTTCCTAAGTAAACAACCTAGTATTTCAGACCATAACAAATTTTCTGTGAAAATGTGTAAGCATCGATCACTTTTTGGAAACAAATAAATATTGTTTAAGCTACAAAATGTGTTGGTATTGTTGTTACAGTAGCCTGGATTGCAATCTCAAAATAATTGAGATCTCCATTAAATAGTGTGTTCTAGTATATTCATTTTCTAACCACTTAAACCTTTCTGCAGTAATAACATTAAACTTCACATTTTAACCGACTGTGTTGCATTAATGTGAATTCTAAGGTTTGCTCAAACATATTAGCTCACAAAAATTTGTAAATCTTAGTGTTGATATAGGGCGTGATTTCTTGTTCTATTTTACCAATGCAATTCATAGTATTAAATCATTAGTCACATGGTAGCCAATCAATCAGATTTCTAAATATCTGATCCAGTGAAAGTAAGAGGAGGTGTTTTTAATACCAAAGTACAGGTGTTCTCTCAAACTTTCTTGTGTATTTCTATATCTTTTCAGGCCTGAATTGCAAGCAATTGAATGAGAACAGTCCTAAAACAGTGGCAAGCCAGACAGTTATATGCCTACCATTTAAAGCTGCCATGACTTGCTATGGCGTGCCATTCTGCAACTAATGATGCTTTATAAAGAGAACTGTTGAAACGTTGCACTTCAGATAGACAATCATGCAGAAAAAAACAACACCGTTGCCACGTGGCGCAATGGCATCCTCAAGATTAGGAGGAAGAACATCCCGGGATATTGCTGGAGTGATGCAGAGACTCCAAGGTAAGTGATTAAAACAGAACATAAAAGGTTTCTTTTGAGTTTTCAATGAAAAATAGGGATCTGTTGTGTCTAGAAAGAGACTAAATACTTTAAGCATCTAACCTGAGAGTTTAAAATTTGATTAGTCCTTCCTGCAACACTAGCATTCATAGTCTTAAATTTTGATATGACAAACAAAGAATAATAAGAACAGACATAGAGAGAACTTAGTTTTGAAGAAACTTAGTTTTGAAGAGGTTTGCTAGTCTTTAATTTTGCCTATTTAGATTTCTAAATTCTTTTTTTTTATTGAAAATTTTTAAAATTTTACAAAAAAAAATAAATTCCCCTGCCCAAATCCTCCCAACCTACCCCAACCCTCCCCCAACCTTCCCAGAGCTGAGTACAGGCTTAGTTAAAACTTAAAAGAAAAAAATTTAAACACCATAAACAATTAATTACAATAATTAAACAAATTATAAAATACTTTAAGACCAATATATAAAAAGCAAAAAAAATTATGATTACAATCATTAGACACATTATAAAATACTCTAAACATTTTCTAATGTCATATTTATATTATTTAAAATTTATCCATCATCCTTTATAAAGACCCTCAAAAACACACATATAAACATTACTTATAACATTAAAATTCTCTTATACATATTTAAAGCAAAATATTCCTTTAAATACTCCTTAGATATCTAAACATGCACTACCTATCTAAAATTTTCATTCAATCTCCATAATATCATACTTATATTATATAGAATCTAATCTCTCCCTCTTTCTTTATCATCCAACACGAAAATAAACATATGAACATTAGTTATACCATTAAAACAAGATACTCTTTTGAATACTCCTTAAATTGCTAAACTTAAATTTCTTATCTAAAATTTTCATTCGATCTCCATAATATTCTCTCCTCTTTACCAATAACCAATTCCATCCACAGTGAACTGTAATCTATCAATAACCTGAAAACAATCTATACATTCTTTATCAATCTCTCTTGTCCAAAAACCTCGAGAGAAGTGCTTGGAAATCTGCCCTTAAAGGTTGCTCCAAAAAGTTTATAAATCTTGCTTCTCCCGCAGACTCAGAAACCAATACTTGTGAGGCTTCCTTAACCTCCTTCTTCTGTTGCTCCTTTTCTTTGCGTTTATGTGTTACACAGGTTATCCTCTGCTCCTTCATCTCAACTTGTTGAGGCCCTTCAGTCTGAAATTTCGCAATTTTCATCAATATAGGCTCTTCAGACTGCAATTCTGCCACCTTCTCTTCCGAAGCTTTAGACATAATAGGTGGCGATAAACATACCCCCAGGACCGAAGTGTAAAACTCTTTTGCTTTGAAAACAGTATTAAGTCTATAACATGTCCCCAGATAATTCACCACCATTCCAGTCGGGACATCCCATCTGAACAACATTTGCCTCTTTTTAAGTTCATCTGCTAAAAAAGCAAACTCCTTTCTTCTTCTTAAAATTTTAGATGGGCTCTCCTTTAAAATTATAACGTCTTATGAAGCAATCTGAAACCTCTTATTGTAAAAAGCTTGTATAATTTCGTTACGCAGGGATCTTTTCCCAAAATAAATTACTACATCTCTTGGCAGTTTTCTTTGCTTTGCCACCACAGAGTTAACTCTAAATGTTTTTTCAATTTCACTAAATATTTCCTCTTTTTTTCTATCCAAAATCACAGCAAAGTCATTTGCCACCATCTCTCTCAGAACTCCTTGCAGAGACTCTCTCAAGCCTCTAATTCTTAAAGCATATTCCATTTCTCTATATTGAAGCATAAGAATCTCATTTGAAAATTTTCCATCTCTTTTTCCATGCCTTCAAATTTTCCCTCCAACAGCTCCAGTTTGTCTGCAACCTCTTCTACACGAAAATTCAGCTTTTCAAGAACAGAGGCAACTCCTTTTAAAGCCAAAACTATATCTTGCCTCCTATTATTTTCCACTAAAATCTCTTTCACTTCTCCCCTGATTTGAGATATAGCATTTCCCATTATATCTTGCAAATCCTTTACCGTTAATAACTGTGCCAAAGGAGAGGGTGAAGCTATTAATTTAGATTGTTGCACTGATGATATCACTGAAGAAGAAACCACCTTAGGAGCTGTGGGAATTACTGGACGCTTTGGAGCCATCTTAGAAAATCTTTACTCCTTCTTAAAAATTACCCCCAAAAAAGGGAAAAGAAAAATTAAGCAAAAAAAGAGAGATTAACTCCAATAAATCAAAAACTCCTTCAAAAGGAGATCATTATAATAAAAAAAGTTAAGAAAAAGAAGGAAAAGAAAAGAGAAAAAAATAATTAAATAAAAAAAATCCGTTCTGTTTTTTTTTAAAGTACAAAAAACAAAAAAAATCCTTCAAGAAATAAAAAAAAGTTAAACAGAAAGGGAAAGTAATCCTCCTAAAATCCAAACCCAACATCAAAAAATCATTATAAATAATCAAATCCGTTCCATTCCGTTCCGTTCCAGTCCAAAAAAAAAAAACACCAAAAAGCCTACCGATCGCCATTTTACTTTCCCTTTCAACCAAAGAAGAAAACAAAAAGAGGGAATAAAAGTAAATCTTTAAATCTAAAATCCAAATAAGATCGGAAAAAACAAAATCCTCTACTCAGCTCTGTCCGCTTTTTTAAGAAAACTCACCAGATCACTTTAATCGCGGAGGTGGTTGCAGCGGCTTGTTTTGTCCCTAGAGACAAAAACAGCTGGGAAGAGCAGACAATCCGAACTCCTTGGGGTGCATAAGAGGCTCTACCACTATTCAGATGATACTCTTCTCCCTCCCTTTGCCCGGGAGGGAGATTTTGAACCGCAGAACAGCTCATGTCTGCTGTTCATAGCGGTTCTAACACTTTCCCAGGAGGACGCTACAAAGTAGCCGCCATCGCACGCGCAGATCCACCGGAAGTCCCCTAGATTTCTAAATTCTTGTCATTATCTATTGGAATATTGTTGGCCATGAAGAAGAAATTGAGGATAATATTTTGTAGTATATTTACAAATTGGTTTCTTTAAATATTTGAAAGGTTCTAATTTGTAATTCAAATTACTCATATTGAATAGTATTTATTAAATAATTCATACTGTTTTAAGAACAAAGATGGGAGAGACATACAGGCATTTATTTATTAGTATATTCTAAATCTTTTTGTTTATTTTCTCACTACTCAAAACAAAAAGGGTTCAGTTTGTAATAGCTGATTTCTCCTGCAAGTCAAGCAGATCAAGCAGGAGTTTTAAAAGATTTCATTTCTGTTGTGCTTATGTACAATACTTTTCTTTTTAGTCTATAGTCCTGAATTATTGATGAGCAGACAATCTGTAGAACAGACTGTTTCTGGCTTAGGAATTTCATCTTCTGGAGACATCAAACATAAAACTGGAGACGGAATTTATAAATCTGAAAATGACAATTTGTACCCTATTAGGCCAAAGATAACTGATTGTATATTGTGGTTTGTAAGGCATTTGAATCCATTTGCCTAATTCTGTTATTCTAAGAAGCTCTCTAAACAAAAATGAAAAAAAAATCACTTATTCTTTATACTTGATTTTATATACCAGTATAATTTTGTGTAATACACAATAAAACACCTATTTCATTTTTGTTTATTTTAAAATATATATTGTATGGGAACACTAGTAAGTTGCTGCTGACATTAGATCGTTGTCTGCTTCCCAGGGCAGATGACATACTTAATTGTTAAATACAAAAAAGAGTGAAAGATTAACAAATAACAGTCTTGCTAATAACAAGCCTCATTCAATTAATTTATGAGTTAGCATATTTAAAATTGATTACAAAATCTCAATAGGTACATAGATTTTAATTCATAGAATTGTTTTATGTTTTTACCAAAGGTGACCCATTGCATATGGTTTATTTCTTATATTAATCATAGTTTTATTCACATTGATTTAACTGATTATACTGTCATTATTTATGCAAGATGTTTAGTAGCATTAAACGCAAAACTATGGAATTATAGGCTAGAATTTAGATTTCAAAATTCTGTTTTTATAGATGTTATATGGTGTGATCTTATAGATCAGTGGTGGCGAACCTATGACATGCGTGCCAGAGGCGGCACTCAGAGCCCTTTCTGTGGGCACGCACGCTGTCGCCCCAGGACTGCCTCCCCCCCTTAGACCCTCCTCACCAGCAGCCCTTCTGGAGGAGAGTCGCCCCCAGGTGCAGCCCACACGGAGCAGCACAGTCAAGGGCATGGGAGCTGGGCAGTAGGGACAAGACTTCGCCCTCGTGCCCCATCGCATGCAGATGATGCTGTGGGGCGCGGGCGGAGGGCATGGCCACTATGGTGTTGCAGGGCCACCAGGGCGATCTGTGGTGGGCTGTGGAGGTGATAGGTGGCCCTGCGGGTGGTGGGGCAGGGGGCAGGGCAGGGAGCAGAGTGGGGGTGGGGTGGGCAGGGGAGGGTGGGGGGTGGGGCGATTTTTGGGTACTCGGTGTCTAAAAGATTCGCCATCACTGCTATAGATATCAATTCAGCCGTAAGCTCTAATGTAAGAATGTATAATATAATGGCCAAGAAAATATAACAAAGTACTCAGGCATCATACTGATAAGAGAAAACCAAGGTCTATATTTTTTTATGGAAAAAGCTAAACATAGCTAGCAACTCAATATGAGTATGATAGAAAGGAAAAGGGCAAAAAGGAGATTGGCTCAGTTTATCTAAGAACATGACATGCTAGACAGAAGAATTGTAGAGAACTGCCAGTACCAAGTAGCACATTGATGAAACACAAATAACAATGTTCAAGTTCATACAATATTCTAGTAAGTTATTGGGTGATGGATTGGCTTAGCATGATGCATAAATCATTATTTCTAAATCGTAAAAACAAATAACTATGCACTCTTTAAAAACCATGATTGTTGCATGATGAACAAACTTAGCATGGAAATCTATATTGCAGAACAAAGTATATCATTAAAGTTGTTTAAATATGCTAATTCCT